TCTAACTATGAAAAAATTACACTCCAAAAGACCTCGGGCTTCTGAAAAAACAACCCAGGCTTAAGCCCAGTAAGCCACCCCCCGCTCCGCCACTGGTTTTGGGGCGTTGTCACTTCTCCACACCTAGCTCTCTGCTCCATGTGTCATCAATTCTTGCCTGTGATTGGACCGTCTTCGAACGTGCATTCTAATGATGCACTGTAAAGTTTCGTAACGTTTGTCTTCTCATCTTTCAGTAACCGTTTCTCTCTAGCCCAACTGGTCGAGGAGTTATGGTAGTTTGAGTCACCCTGGTAAAACCCAGGGGGAGTTGACTTTCCTGTGCTCAGACAGCAGTAGCTTGTGATCGCTTTGTGCTACCGTAATACATCAAATATCCCTGCAAACCTCAGCTTATCTGCTTTTCTAAACCGCATTTTCCGCTGGCGGGCCCATGATAAATAGAGGTAAGTGTCAGTGTGGATATACAGATATAGTTCCTCTCCCATATTTCCCATGTCAGACTCTGAACACAGCTTCCAAGTACAATTGCTGGACTGTGTTTGCAGAGCTTACTTTATATTTTTACATGCTGTAGTGCCATTTTTGGGAGCATTTCAAGTTGCTATGCATCAATACAACTGTTATAGCCCATATTTTAATAATATGTATGCATTAAGTCCATAGTAACTACATAAATTGCAAAAAAGTGCAATAAACTACAAAAAAAATGAAAATCATTTTTGGTTGTTTTAAGTATATTTCTACTTTTTAAATTTAAGAGGTTTATCCCCCAAAACTTAAAATACAAAAAAGTTGCAAAAAATAGTTTACAACAACAGGAAATTTATTTTGAGTGTCTTCATAATTTTATTTTTGAGATACACCAATTTTTATATACTGCAGGAAAAACGAAAAACAATCCTGTGATGAAAATTTGCAAAGAAAACAGCATGTGCATCAAAATAAACTATTTTAAGCAGTGCAATTTGAGTTCTAAGCATCCCAGCAACTATTCAGAAAAGCATAAAGTCATAAACTAAAGTAAAAAACTACATTTTCCGCGAAAATTCCGGTTTTGGGCAGGTAATGGCGGACATGTGATCTCGCACTGACATCTGTTTCAATGTGGGAAGTGTTACGAACAGCTGATCGGATCGGCAAAGCGTGTTTCTGGAATATTATGTTTTTGTTCCTGCAAACGCTTTTTATGCAATATTTGCAAAGCTATATGTGGAAAGAAACCATGACCTAGGACAAGCTGATGGTATAAGATGTAAGTACAACTCCTCCGCTTTCATATGCAAAAAAAAATTATTGCGCTAGCTTACGCGGATCCGGTTCTACGGGGATTTAAAAATAGTTATGCAAAACGGAGCGTGCCCGCTCCGACCGGCTTTAAAGGGTTAAACCATTTATAATTTGTTGTAGCTGTCATGGTCTCCCAGTCCTCCTGGTCAACCAACACGTTGTTTCTCCTTACGAGTATAATGAACTCGATACTTTACTTTCTGTTTCGCTCCTGTATGCACTCCTGGCTGTCTTAAAGGTGATGAAAGTTCATTCAGAATTAGTGACACTGATGATGTACCTTAATTATTAAAAAGTATTGGTACGTATCAGCAATATAGGTCCTGTATTTACTTGGTATCAGACTGATACCAAATCTTGCATTATTGAACACGACTAACAAATAGTGATGTTAAATTCATTATACTGTTATTATTTCAGCACCATGGACAGCACACAAGGTTTCCGGCTACCTTCCGATTACAAGGCAAGCTCTCACACACACAACAAAAAGGTGAATGATGATGTTTCAGAATAATATTAATTGACAGATGGCTCAACCTGGTTCAGGTCACCCTTTAATTCTTCTAATTAAAAAATAATTAAAGGCATTTAATTTTTTTTTAATTAAACACACACACACAC